GCAAGGCCAGGAGCCCCTAGGAGCGTCCTTTCTCCTAGTAGTAAGGCTAGGAGCCCCTAGTAGCGTCCTTGCTCCTAGCAGCGATGCCCTTTGTTACTAATCCTGTTGCCATTTAGGCTTTGCGTCGAGATTCCGTTCTCCCGAGCGCAGTCCAACTCTGCAAGGCAGCTGGCCTTGACTTCTTCGCAGCCTTGCATACACTTCTGCAAAGCATCCGCAACCTTGGACAAAGAAAAGGACTATATCGGAACCAGTACAGTGCAGCTTCACGAAACAAAAGGTGACACTCCTCCAGGCGAGAACGCATTTCCAGAATGGTCCCTGGGCTTGAGGCGCACGGGGCCAGGCTTGGAAGCCTCTCTTAAGAGAGGCCTTGGCAAGACAGTCCAACAAAATCAAAGCAGAAAAAATAGCATAGTACCCAACCACTGCGAGGACAAGAATAACATGAAAATGTCGATCTCATCTATGGAAATAGCAATACAACAGCTGCCCAATGGGCTCACAGTGTGTCCTTAAGCTCCCAACAGCCATCGTTCGGTCACCGCTTGCCGCGTTGGAGACCCGCGTGGGGATCGAGGAGAAGCTGCTTCGAAGCAGCCGCAAAGGCGATCCACCTGTGTCATCATGTTTCATCATATCAAAACAGGCTCAAGACCCAATCCACACTTGCTTTGCACGGGACTGATGTTTTGAAATGTGAAAGATTAATCTAATCTAATCTAAGGAGTTTCACTAGTCTTCACCATGTTTGTCACATGCCAGCCACAATGTGGGCTCCGGATATGAGACAAGCCGCCAACTCACCCAGAAGCTCACGCCGGTCAGGTCCACCCCATGGCTCTGCCACACCTCTCCTCAGACAAACCAAAGCACACATGTCAAATGTTGGCTTTGATGGTTTTGCAAGATTGGCATGGAGAGAAACCATGTCATTCTCAAGAACGAAACAATTAGCTAAAGCAGCTGAGAACAGCTGAAACGAAATAGAATCTTTTAAACACGAATTGAGATCTGGGCAGCCAAACGATCGTCTGCGGTCCAAGGCCTCGTGCAAGCCATTGCCTGGGCAAGATCAAGAACAGCAATCGATGGCCTCCAACCTACTAGTGATGGCCTCCAACCTACTAGCGATGGCCTCCAACCTACTAGCGATGGCCTCCAACCTACTATAGCGATGGCCTCCAACCTACTAGCGATGGCCTCCAACCTACTAGTGATGGCCTCCAACCTACTAGCGGTGGCCTCCAACCTACTATAGCGATGGCCTCCAACCTGCTAGCGATGCCTCCAACCTACTAGCGATGGCCTCCAACCTACTAGCGATGGCCTCCAACCAAGCTTGAAACACAAAGCTTGAAACCTTCTGATTCTTGCCCACATTTTGACAGGTAGGAACTCAAGCCCCAGGCTAATCCCCATCATTGCTTTGAACTCTTCTGGCCTAAGCGAACCAGGATTTGAGGTGTGGAAACAAAGACACCCAAAAAGCATGTGGTGTTGTGCAAAACGGCAATTTGCCTGTCCCGGATACAAAGGTCTGGCGCTGCTTGAACCCGATGACCGGAGCAAGAAGGGCTTCCCTTCACTCTGGGTTGTCTTCATGATTCACAGCATCTGTGCGCAGCTACAGGGCATGAAGCCATCCTCCAACCTGTGTAGCCTAAACCGCACTACGACTTTGAAGTCATGTTGGCGCCTTTCAACTAGCCAAGGACACTTGTGTTCATGGTGTTCATCACAAGCCCCAAAAAGTAAGATTCAGCAGAGTCTTGTTGAGTCCTTGACCCATTATTCAGCAGCCTTTGGCGACCTCAGCGTTTCGCTGCACTGGTTGGAGCTTCGCTTGGAGCTTAGCTAAGCAGCTAAGCGTTGCTTGAAAGAATTATGATTTTTAAAAAGGAAGCCAAGGGCCCCTTAAACAAAAGCCCTCATTAAGGGGGGCCCAGGCCCTTACCTTTTTCATCTTTATGCCTTGCTGCTTGGAGCATCTCTTCGGATCTTCTGGGGCTCTTCTAGGGCTCCTGGCCGCTGCGAGATGGAGGTTCTCCACAACCAAGGCCTGGGCGGTCAAGTGCTGCGAAGCTCTCCACGGCAAGCTCTCCGTTCCGGTTCCCAAAGGTTCCGACAGACCCACATGGCTGCTGTTTGACCTCAGAGTTTTTGCAACCTGTCTCAGCGTTCCCACAAGTGGTCAATCAGAGACAAGGAGTCTTTGTCACAGCTTCGAGCACATTGTTTGAGCAATTGTGCAGTGACTTGGAATCACAGTGCGTGAAATAGAATGGCGGTTCATGGAACAGGCTGCCCAACCATAATCATCTGTGATGGAAGCATCTGCGCCACACGACAAAAGGCGACGAGAGCAGCATAAACTCCCAGTAAGCCTCAAGCTGATACCAAGGCTGGAAAGAAAGGAAATGGTCGGGATTGACTGAGTTTCTTTTCATGTCATGGATGTTTCAAAACGTATTGAGCAGTAATCAAATCCACGATGGTCTGGCCGGTCGTATGCTGCTGCAAAGCGAGTGGTATTGTAAGAAACTTAGCTGACATGTGTGGTCTTTGCTCTCTGGGTCGATTCTAGCTTCAACCAATCGATCCAAAATGGAATGTCATAAGAATGCGACGTGTTCCTTTGATGTCACAGCTTCAGCCATGCTTCGGCTGTTGTGCTGTGGGTCTGGGTGTCTAAGATAAGCACGCCGCAAGCATCAAGGGAGTGACCCCTGAGGGCTGCAACAAAATGCCACACATATTCTTTCGCGATGATGCTCAAGGATTAAGTCCTATTGGTGAGGCGTCATCAAAACTGCTTTTAGTTCGCTTGCCACGTCCCTTTTACTGAAAACCAATGACTTCAGCTGTGTAGACTTCTAAAACGCAAGCACGACTAGGTGTGCCGCCAGCTTAACAAACATGCAGTGGAAGCTCAACAGGAACACATAGGGTTTGCTGCTGTTTCTTACAGCCTACCATGTCATGTCAAGTGCCTTCGTGCCAACAATGAACAAACGATGAAAACGGTTGAAAACCTCTGAAAGTACTCCCCACAAACGCCTTTCTGAGCCAATGCATCGACTGAAGCTCGTGCAGCTAAGAGAGATCCAACCTCAACACATCACAAAACTTGTAGCAAGTGCTGGGTTTGGGCAAATGCAAGAAGACAAATCAGACAAATCAGAAAGCTACGAAATCCTTGCCAAGAGCACAAAACTTTCACTTGGATGGAAAGTCCTTCCGTATCTTCCCTTCCTATGTTTTGTTTTTGGGCGGTCTTTGAAAAAACATGTCACTTCGTTCCTCCAAGGCAGTGGCGGCTTCTTCTGACCCTGCAAACGCAGCATAGTGAAGCGCCGTGAGCCCTTCCTCGCAAGGGAAGAAGGACCAAAGGGCCAGCACGGTGCACGATGGTCGATGTGAATTTTGGAAAATGCTCTGGAAAAGCCTGGTCTGCCCTGAAGGAGATGCCCACATCCAGCAGTCTCTGGAGTACCTGACAGTGGAGGTCCTTGTCAACACTAAAGACGTCTAAATCTACATCACGAAAGGGTTTCGTGACATGGCTCTGGGAAAACCCGCTTGGGCTCTTCTCAAACGGACCCCAGAACAGAAGTACTGTGTACTCACTTGTAAGATGGAATGAAACCCTCAGTTCTTTTGAGTTGAAACCCAAAGAGAACATCTTGAAACATCTTTCAACAGGTTGATCTGCACCTTGAAAGCTTTTGGCTCCGCAACGACGCTCATGGCCGCGTACTCCTCAAGAGGAGGAAGAAAGTCAGTGCTATGATGGAAGCGATTGAAGTCATTTGAAGGGTTCGTGACATTCAATTTCATGTGGTTTTGACATCCAACATTTATCTCTAGAGAAGAGGGAAGCAAAATGGGTTCCATTTTGCCAACAAAACTGTTGGGGTTCGGAAGTCATTGATTGTGGAATGCCACATTGAACATCCCACTCATCAGCCCGCTCTCCAAACTATCTCTGATCATCTTTGAATAGAAGGCTTTTGCTCCTGCGCTCCTACGTCCCTTGCTACGTCCCTTTGCCGATGCCGTCAGAGCCAAGAGGCCAAAATGCTGCGGCCCGCTGTATCGCAGCAGCCTTCGCCCACGTCCAGGACTTCAGAGGGGCCCATCGCCTCAAGGAGCTGATGAGCTGATGGAGACTTGGAACCGTCAACCGATTTGCCATTTGCCGTTTGATGCGAAAAGCTGTTTACAATTGCACACCAAATGACCACGACAGTGCAAGTCTGCAAGCCAACGATGTAAAAACAGGCAAACGAGATGAAAACATGAAGGACCACAAGCCTCTCAAACCGCCTCTGGTGAAAGCATGTGGAAGATATCCGAGGCCCCGACATCAAGGGTCTCTGCAACCCAGTCCCATTTGCCTCAGAAACAACTAAGGCTGACTAAAATACCCCTGAAGAGCAAACTGTGGAATCTTCCAGTGTCAAACGTCAAAGGCAATAGCTTTTTTGTAGAAAAAATGCTACAAGTATGCCCCACTGCAAACAGAGCTCAGCCAGACCTCCCTCCCACAACCATTTGGCAGTCAGGATCCCGTACCAAAGCTGGCACGTCGAAGCACCTACCACGGATTGAAGCCTTTACAACTAACAAACATTAACAAACCGTAGACTTAGATCATCAGCTAGAGCCTTGCAGCTTTGGACCAAAGTGTTACTGTATTTCTTACGCTTTACAAATACAAAAGCACAAAAAGTTGCGCTTCCAGTTGCACGTCGAAAGCCATGAAGCCCTAGAACAAGCCCTCTTCGATCCTCTTCCCCGTTTCTGTTCGGCACCTCTTCCGAGAGCCATCCGACAAGCTCTGATCCAACCTTGTACGTTTCAATGTCGCAATGTTTTACATGGTCACACAGGCCTTCCATAGCCCTGTGGCTAGAAAATTCTAGGCAAAGCCTAGGTTGGAATCCATCGCTCTTAGGGGAGGCCATCGCTAGTAACTTGGAGGCCATAGGCGGCCATAGCTATTAGAAACAAAGAAAAGCCATGTCTTTGGTCACTTGCTTTTTTGTTGTCCTCATTTCTGCTCTGTCGCCATCACCCGCGTGGACTTTGGTCCACTTTCATCAGGGCGCTGGCGAGAGCTTTTGCCAACAGAGGTTGCAAATGATACGCAAAAAATTGAAAAGCAGGCAACAAGCACTTCATAAGCAGGACTGTGGCTGATGTTTTCCTATTCTGAAATATTAAGGGAGCTTCCTCCATCAGCAGGTGAGACTGTTGGCGAGCGCCCTTGAGGCTCTCTTACAATTGAATCAGCAATGTCTTTGATCGCTATCCACAGCACTTACCAGAAGCTCCCAAACATGCTGGAGAAGAACCCCTTAGACTCTTCTTCGCCGAGATCTTCTTCTAAGTCTTCGTCACTCGGCATCGGCTTTGTACCCACAGGGCACAATTGACAACCGGTGTACAGGTTCTCCCAATCCTCGAAGGACATGTAAAAGAGGCCGTCGTTCTGATGACGGACCTTCAAACGAGCCTTGAGCTCCGGATTCTTCTCCCAGCAATCAGGAAGCTTGTTTTCTTTGCTGTAGTCTGCCCAATCACCTTTCCACTCTCCAAAGCCCCAAGGATTTCGAATCTGGACCAGCCGTATAGGCTGGCCATTGTCCATCTTCTCCTCAAAGCATTTCAACAACGAGTAAGCGTGGTTTGCCTCCACTCCATACTGGAGCCGGACTTGTGAATTCATTTCTGGGGTGCTGATGGGCTTGTCGTCCAGGAAGTTCACACTGCAGGACACAATGTGCTTGTCAGCAAGAGCGCCTGAGATAAATTGGAAAAGCTGTTCCGAGTCCATGGGTTTTCTGTCTCGATTCTTTCGTGGCCGCCCTTCTTGGGGCTCTCTGGCTTTCATATTCCTAGAATAGTAACTGATCCAACCATTCTTCGTCTTCTGTAAGATCTCAGGGGTTTCTCCAGTCAAGAGTTTGAAAACCCAGCTTTCCATTCCGCCGTAGATCTCACCATAATTTCCGCAGAACTTGGCAATGGCCTTTTCCAGCAACGGAACCCAAATCTCTTCACCCAAGGGTTGTGCGCAGCAAGGACGTAAAATCCCGTCGGCGCTCCGACATGGGACGAACTCATCGATGACAACCTTTACCCACTCCTTCTTATCCATGTGAAAAAGCTTCACGGTGTACTTCCCGTCCTCCGTCAAGTGCTTCTCACTGAACAAGTTCTTGAGACGTTGAGGTTGCTGGGCTAAAGCACTCAAGGAAGCCAACAAATAGCAATCTCCGACATGTCCTTGTTTCACATCTTGTGGTCGAACTTCATCAAAAAGGACCGCTTCGCTGGAATTGCCCAACATCCGAGCCCGCACCCATCGGTCTGGCTTGCCCATGTCCAACTCAGGAAACCTGTGGCGCAAAGCGAATCCAAGTGATTGGAAGGTCCATGCACCTGTCACCTTCACTGAGTAGACCTATTGGCTGCTAGGAATTCCCAAAAGCCAACCTCACCGCCTTGTCATCTTCTGTTTTGTTTGAAGCAATCTTGAACCCCTTTAACCTCGTTTGAACAAAGGCCCCAAACTCTTTTGCGTACTGCTCGTCACCTGGAATTCTTGGTGCTCCTCTCATCATGTGGGAAATCTGGATCGATGAAGGCTTTGCTCAGATCATCCTCGCCGTTGTTCACGTCTGCTCGACAGCACACAGGTGCCACTTCGTAACCTCGGCTGTGACTCCAAAATCGAAAACTACAACTAAAACATGTGAAAAAATGAATCACTGGCACTTTGGAAAGAACACCTGCCCCTGTTTATGCTGAAATCCTGGTCTTCCGACAACCCAGCTCTGAAACACGCATGGTCAGCCACGCATGAATGTGCAACTTGGTGGGAAAGAAACCTGAGAAGGGGGAAACGAAAGCCAGTAGACACCAGCATGCAACATCTTGGTGTTGCAAATGATGCCGCCAGGCTAAAACTTGCAGTTTCCATATCACCAACCCAATGGAAATGGCCCCACCTAAACGCAAAAACGCCATTAAGCTTCAGTAGGAGGCTTGCAAATCGTTCATCGACGGAGTGTCCGGCTGAGGCCTTTGACCACACCCTACACCACTCGGCAACTGAGTCGGTGTGCAAGAACATAGAACTCCACCCAATCGATTCACTATTGATATTCCAATCGCTTCTTTCTCTCTCTCTCTCTCTCTCTGTCTCTGCACTACTTCTGGTCTGCCATGCCCACTCACGCCTTGCCACAACTGCGCATATGCAAACATGTGTTTTATGGCTTTTGCTACAAACGACATCCTTTTGTAGTGTTGTGGTTTGTTGCCACTGTTGTCCTTCGTACAACTTCAATTTTCTCGGCAGAGGGATCCGGGGGGAATCGAAACCGAGGAGGGACGTCTGGCAAGTGGTTCTCCAGAAACAACCAGTCAAGCAAGTTGATCATCCTGATGAACCCGAATGAAACCAACAAGGGAAAGAACACCGACAGTGAATCGCTGTTCCACTGGTTTTTTTTGGATACACCTTGTGAAAACAAATGCGCCTTCGTTCGCAGCAACGCTCAAGCCTCAGGTAACGTAGAATCTTCATGAAACCCCGCCATTTGGTATACAAATTAACAAAAGCATAGAGAAGCTTGATGCAAGTGATGCCACAACAATCTTGTGTCTTCATCACCAACGTACCAACATAGGCTATATACTATGATTTAGGCCCTCGGATCCGCATCTGCCCTCCAGACTCACTTCGTTCGCAGAAACTAACTTCAGCCTACCGGGCCTACCGGCAGGCTTTCGCAAACGTTGGGGGATACTGAAGTCCCATCCATCTCAGCTAGGACTTCGGGAAATCCTCACGAGCGCAAGCAAGTGCACTCGCCACATGGACCTTCGGTGTGAATGCGCCGGTCGAGAGCCCGAGGGCGTAGCCCAGGGGCCTCAAAGTCTTCCTACTCTTGCTGGTGAACTTTGAGTGCTGGAGCTTTCCTACGTCCGTCTCTTCATTTTCATCCCACCCCCTTTCCCATTTCCTTCTCTATCTATCTATACAAATCTCCTTGTCTGGCCTTTCACGAGTCTCTCGAACGCCCAAGGTGACACAAAATGAGGCCGCTCGCAAAATCTTGCCCGACCAACATCTCAACCCCAGCACAATCCCAAAAACCGCTCGCGACAACCTTTCGTGACTGTCAGCAGGTTCTTTCTTTGTGGAGTATGCTGGGTATGAGAAATCAACGCTGCAACTCACTTCCAGTCAAGCAGCTGAAAGGTGATTTGGTGACTCTCAGCATGGGCTTGAAAATTCGCTTGCCTGGTTCAAGAACTACCTGCACGGGATTGCCATAAATGCACTCCACATTTTCACACATCAAGAATTTGAAGGTGTACTTCATGGAGTGCTTGGTAGGATTCGAGAAGGCGAACTGGATGTCTCCTGTCCCATCTTCGCCCAAGGTGGCAAGGGGATTGAAGGCCGGTTTGTTGGCTGTGATCCAGGCAATGAACCTTTGTGCGAAAAAGGAAAAATGAATCTACTAATAGCTTCTTGTTCCTAGTAGTAAGGCCAGGAGCCCCTAGTAACTTCTTATTACTCAGTCCTAGTGGAAAATAAAACATGCTTCCAAAAGAATAATCCCAGGGACTCATGCACTTGGATTGTTCCATCCTTGTTTGCATCAGCCTCTTTGAAGAGTTCCTCCGCACTCTTTCTAGGAACACCCAGGCGCTCAAACAACTTGAGCATTTCGTCTTCGGAAAGGACACCATCACCCGATGTGTCGTACTTCTCAAAGAGTTCTTGCAGGCGGCGCTTCGCAGACATGACTAGGCTCTTGTTGGCTGACCAGCACTGATCAGAACGTTTGCAAGAATCCGTGAAATCCTAGCTTGGGCCTCAAAAATTGCATTAATTAAGCAAGCAAACACAAGAACACCCACAACAAACAGATGTTGACTCAAGCGGGGATGAACAAAGACAACATACACAACCTGTCAGGGTATCTCAAGAAATAGGCATAAAAGTGTGTTCTTGTTGGGAACTGCCGATGGCCATGGACGGCCTGGATTGTCACCAAGTTAGCCTGGGAAAGGTGCACCCCTGGATCACCATTTGGCAAAGCAAAACCCAGAAAGCACTATGTTTTGCTTTGCTGTCTCCAGAGCGTAGCATCGTGAGCCAACTTTGCTTGGCTTGCTCTGCTGTTGTGCGCCTGCTCGTGGCATCAAGATTCATAAGATTCATCAAGGCTCGTAGCTGCAAGTCCTCGAAAATCCTCTCTCTCCCAGATGGTTCTGCGTCAAACAGGGGACAAAGTCGGGACGAAGTCGTGATTCGGTCCACCAAAAACTTCAACTCCAGATTCAGTGTACAAAGTGCCAAAAAAAGCGTTCCGAGAATTCCCAGCTTGCACTCATCCTGCAGAGGTCTGTGACAATACAACGAGGTTTGTCAAAGCGGACCCAAAAAAGCATTCCTAGGCCCCTAGGCCCGAAGCCTTCATGGGTTTGGCTTTTTAGCCAAGTGATATTGACAAAATTTGAAAGCAAGAAGCAAAGCGAAGCCAAGCCACGACTTTGGTCCATCGAATGATCTCTTTCACCCACACCACAGCTCTTCCTCGAAGGGCCACCATGCCCCCGCTGGAGATGTTTCTCTGCAAAAGCAAAACGCCATCCTTTGGTCCTGGAAAGCGACACCAAGCCCATCGTGGTCTAGGAAGAGGAGCCCTCTCCACATCTTGGCCAACTGCCCCTGCAATGGCCTACTAGTAGCTTCTTGCTCCTAGTAGTACGGCCAGGAGCCCCTAGTAGCTTCTTGCTCCTAGTAGCGATGCTCCTGTGTCCTTGCTCCTACTAAGTTCTTGCACAAAAGTGACTAAACTTGCTTTCTCTTTCTCACTGGCACAGGTCCTAGACTTGTGGCGGAGACTCCAGCTAGCAATGGCCAATAAAAGGGCTTCATCTTTTTGCCCCTCGCAGATCGGCGAATGTTTCCTGAAAAGTTGATATTGATAAGTGAAACCAAGTGAACAAGCTGCACGCCAGCGAGCAATTTGTGGAGAGCAAAGAAGGCGCCCACTGATTTGCACAGCTTTGCGCCAAGCAGCTGGCCACATGCGCCGCCATCTCTTCTGCTGGGAATGAATTCTTCGGCAAAGGATCCACCCCCGGCACCTCATGAGGCGACGAGGAGAATGGACGCAACGAGTTGAATTCTGTAGTGCTCGGAGAGCAAGGGAGAAGTAATTATACAGTAAATGATTGCAAAAAAACATCAAAAAACAAAATATGTATTCAGATTTGGCGCTTGATCGATGCAGCTTCCAATTGCAAAAACCTTTCCATCAATAGCGCCAAGATCAGCCTGCGCTCAAGCGTTTGGTCTCGCGCTTTGGAGTTCGAGAAATTGCATCTTTGCGTTCAATCTGTTTTTACCTTTTTTGTTTCTTTTAAGTCCGCCATTAATTAAGTGGGGCGCCTACTTAATTAAGGAGGTACGCTTCCGGGTAGGACGCAGGATAGCTCACGCTCGCACTATTATAGAATTTGATTCCGAGATCTTGAGGAGACAACTTTTTGCAAATTGCTTGTCTTGTTGGGATGCCTCAGAACCATTCGCAATCTGCAATGTCCTTGGACCGCACAGCAAAAATATATTCTCCAAAAGCCCTCGTGTAAAGCCATCAAGTAACGTGGAAATTGCTAGTCCTCCGAAACTTCTTATCAGTCAAGACTCGTGGCACAACTCCGTTGACCCTCCATATACGGCCCACAAATCCCTCAAAGCCAAGTTGCGGGGTCATCTTCACCCAGCCTTTCTCAGTGAGGCACTCAGGTGGCAGAAAGCTGCAATGCCTGTAATTCGGCCATCCAATTCCAAAAAAGCAAGCAGCTTCCGTCAACTACCCTACCCCACCACTTTCAGCTTTAGGTTGACTTTCTCCCAGTCACGGTCTCATGCCCATGCTCTTGAAGACGCGCTCTGGACAGGGCCGGCCAAAGCGTGTCCAAAGGGTGTTGGCTGCAGCATCTTCGTTGGGATATTCAACTTGATAATAAGTCCTCGGTCTTTCACGTCAAAGCCGAACTGTAGACGGTTCCCCCTTCTCTCAATTTCGAGCAGACTGACCGATGATTGTTTAGCCCTTGAGTTCCAAGCTTCGTGATATTGTGTTTGTCTAGATACTTCTGGATGTAGCTTCTAGCACTCTTGGGCATTGTAGGACAGCAACATTCACTTCGGCTGGCCAAGCTAATCTGTAGAGAAGGAAAGTAGTGCTTAAGCTCAGTAGCAAACTCCACCTTAGCCAAGGGGGGAAGGCGAACACGTTCACCAAAGAAACAAGAATTCCAACATGTTCCAACAGTTCTTTCGGAAAGAGCTTCCACTGCACCGAGCTGCACCCACAAAGCCAGCTCCAATGACCGCCACGTGAGCCCCACGATCCGCCAGTTCAGTCAATTGATCGTATTCCTCCAGATTTTGAAATTGCCATGAAGGACTCGAAAAAGTCTATCTTTGTGTTTCTTTGTTTTCCGAATTGTAGAAGGGAAATATGGTCTGATCGGCGACCTGTCTGTCAGCGTCCTTCTCAATCTCCTTCTGCCTCCCTTCTAAGTATCTTCGGTCGATTGGCCTGACAATCAAAATGTGCAACTTCTGGTTGCTCACGCCTGGGTCTCCAGCCTGGTGCCCGAGGTGGGTGAGACAGCCCACAAGCTACCGAAGTCACAGCCAGTTGCCACGACACAATAGTCCTAAAGCCGGGGAAAAAGGGAAATCTTCTGAAATCTATATACACGCTCTTCGCTCTATCTCCAAGCTCTTCGCATCGACTCTTCCTCTCTCTCTCTCTCTCTTTCCTCTAACGCTCTCAGCAATCAAGAACGATTGGATCAACTCACGACTGTTCCTGTAAGAGGTGCAGTTTGACGGTGATCCAGCTTGGGTTGTTCTGCTTGGGATCGCGGAAAGGCCAAATGAGATCTCAGGGATCTGTGAAAGCCTTTGCTAGATTGAAGAACGGTTCCAAGCTTCGTAGGCAACACGATGTTGATCAGAGGAGTTCAATTGGACCACCACCTGAAAAAAGAAGAGAGTGCAATGAGGCGCTTAGAAACTGGAAGTAATATATACAAGGTCTTTATGACAAGAACACACATCAGACATCTCAGATGATCTGAACTCAGATCTGTATCATCTGGAGCTACTCGTTTCCACCTCGTTGCCTTGGAGCTTCTCTGCTGCTCCCCAGATCCAAGACACCTGCCCCATCAGGCAGCGGCAGCTATGAGCTACGCAGCGAGCTACGCAGCGGGCTACGCAGCTACAAAATGCTACGAATCTGTTAACAATTTACTATCCACTCCTTCATCTTCTTGCACACACTGGCATAGTCGACCACCAGCTTGCGATGAAGATCCGGATTGGAGTATGGTCTCACCATCCCAGGAATAAATTCAAAGTACCTTGAGGGCGGAATGCAAAGGAAGGACAGTCTTTCTTGACATATTTTGCTAGGATGAAGTCCAGATGCTTTTTGGCATCCACCAATGTCACCTCGAAGTTCCGACGCAAATGTCGAACTACCGCCAAACCAGCAAAGCCACCTCCTTCAAAGCCATTCAATTTTGATAAGAACACCCGTTCTGCTCTCCAGCCTGCTCCGTGATCTACTAGGGAATATCGGCACACAGTTTCAATTGGAATTCTGATCACAACAAAGCAGGTATTCTCAAAGCTTAAGCAGCTCCTAGAACAACGACCTTTTTCTTCTCTTTGGTCCAGAGGGGTGCATAGGCAAGTCTTTCGGTTGCCGTAGCCAAGGTAGCCACCAGCCCAAGCAATAAGAGCCTGGCGGAAGAGTTGCAGCAACGCAGGAACTTTAAAGGAACAACTTCTGCAGGAAGTTGCTAGGAGCAAGAAGCTACTAGGAGTAAAGGGCATCGCTACTAGCAAGAACGTTACTAGTAGGAGCAAGAGGACGCTACGAACGGAGCAAAGGGCTGCACCTATAACATCGGCACCGCTTCCGAGAGGACTCAGGATGACCTGGTGGAGTCGTGTCTGAAACCGGAACCTTCGCGTGAACTCCGTGCATCTGACTCACGCGAACTCAGTGCCATGCGCTCTACAGACTTAGACTTCGAGCTAGATGATGGTCTTCTGCCGGCCTCTGCCGTTTGCCATGGGACAAGGACGCTGTTTTGCTGCTTGGGCAGCTTGAGCCAAAACGAAGAAGACTCTGCATTTTAATGGAGCACGGAAATTTTATGGCATGCTGAGACTGCTGAGACAGCAATCTGTGCTGGACAACTGCATACAAAGGAAATGTCGCTTACATTTGCACAAGCAGAATGCATCTCAGCCAACTGCCCAGCCAGCTGCAACCGAAACGTGCCCCACACGCCTCACAGTTGTAGCTGTGAAGCTCCCAAAGAAGTGCGATGTCTACTCACCACAAAGGGCCCTGGAAGCCTTGAACTAGTCATCTCCTTGAGCGTAATTTGGGTTTTGTGTTCCTTATGTTCCTTATGTTCCTGGAGTTTGCATGAGGTTGCTCAACCTCCGTTCGCTTGACTCTTCCACACCTCTGGGTAAAGGTGCCTCTGGACCAAAGAGGCTCATGGCGCTCTCTGGAAGTTGGAACCTGTCAGCTGATCCTATTTGCAAACTCCAAGATCGAAACTAAACAAGGCACGGGAACAAACAACAAAGTCGAAAGCCACTCAACTCAGGTCTGAGCCTTGAAGTGAGATGTCGCCTTAGTATCCAGTGATATCTTGGCAACGACTGAAAATGTTGGCGGAAAAATGCTGGGGGGAATGATCATTATAAAATTCAGTACCCATTTTGCTTTCCAAACTCAGTTCTTATTCGGCACTCTCCATGAGCTTGGAAAACTCTAGTCTACAGTACTACAGATCTTAAGCGGGGGGATAGGCTGCTAGTAGGTAGCTTCCTAGTAGCTTGCTTAAGTAGCTTCCTGGTAGCTGGGACGCAGGAAAGCTCACGCTTCCTTCAAGGAAGCTCCCCTGCCTGAGGGCCGGGGGGGAGCTTCCTTGCAGAAGCACTTGCACTATTCATTTGGTTCCCAGATGTCTTGGCATCCCGACGGCCAGCTTATCGCCTGATGGCCTTTCGATTAGCAGCACCTGCAAGACAAATCGCTTCCGGCATAGAGGACATGCATCCAAAAGTTGATCTGTGAATGTTGTTTCCAAAACTCTGAACTATCGCAACGTGTTGCGTCAGATCCTTCCAGCTTCCAAAAGGAGAACGTCTCACATGTCATGTCACACCTGTGCTTGGAGGCCTCCTTCACTCCGCCGCTCTTGACCTGAGCCAGGCCCCTTGAGCTGAGATGGTCAGGCCCAAAGGCTGGAAGTAGTCGAGTCCGTGTAGAAAAATTCGTCTGTTGTTCTTATTGTTATTGCTGTGAAAGAAGCGTTTTAAACACATGTCAGGTGTGTATTGTCTTCTCCAAGACCTCACATCGAACCCCATACATCCTTATGCCGCTTGTTGGTTTGGAGACTGAGCAGTCTACGCACAGCATCACCCTCGAATGCCAGCTCCTCCCCTATATGCCAAGTGCTATGGGGTCCTGAATAGCGCAAAGCAGCTGCATCTCTTGTACCAAAGGGCACTGCTGTACTTACACATCAAAGGGCACTGTAGCCAACTACTTGGTGTAGTCAACATTCAGAAATGGTGCTTGTTCTGGTCTTCTTGCCACAACAGCCGCACCTTTGACTTCTCCCTTGATCGTAGCTGACACCTTCGACTCTGCATACGAAGACCTGACATGTCGGCAAACAAAGGCAGCAAAGAGATGCTCTGCTAGGCCTTGCGACGGGTCACACACTGAGCTTCAGACTCCGGGAACAGTGCCAGAGTCAAGGTCGTTCGAGGCCTGCTTCCAATACAACTCAAACAACTTCACAAGGAATAGAACCTCTAATGCTATGCAAAGAACCTTCCTATGATCCTTTATGAACCTTTAAACAAAAGAGGAGATCAGAAAAGCCCAGAATCTATGCAATCAATGAATCAGTGTCAGTAGTCACGGGTCACTCTCCAACTTTGACTATGTCAAGATGATCGAAAGACTCTCGTCATGACAAGCAGCTGAAATAAGCGGATCTCACAGGCGATTTCGACGTTGGGCTCCAACCACCTACAACGTCGCTTGCTGCTGGCGTGTCTTGTTTTGTCAAACATGTGCATTTTTTGCAGCGGTGCAAACAAGCGGCAAATGAGGAGAACTACACAAGCCATGCCAGACTCCTTCCCCCAGCCCGCAAACAGCTTTCAGGTAGCACCTGTCTCTGATCTCAACCAGCCCAAGCAGGATGCGCCTCAAAATGTTACGGTACACTTAAAATGATTAGAGCGCTTTCGTTTGTTTCGGACATAGCGGCCAAGAATCTTCGGCAAAGCCCACGCTTAAAGTCAAGAAGCAAACAAAGGCTTTAGGTCGCGGCAGCGGGGCTTCGGCAGGTAGCCGCATAAACTGTGAACGATCCAAACTCGGCGGACAAAGCCAGTCAGGTAGAAAACCAGAGCCGGTCATCACGCGTTCTTGAACGAACACGTGCATTCAGGCTGTCAAAGTCATCATGTGGCTGTGTATCTTTCTGAGGTTGTGGCTGAACACCTTGCAGCAAGAAGCTGCCACCTCCAGACCACAGTTGTACAATAATGAAAAGAGAGTTGATTGCTTTTTGCTTAGATCATAATCACGATGTAAAGGAGGCTCTGTGCTGAGGATGTGGCTGCCCTCAGAAGCTGTTTGTCTATGATTGCCTGAGAGAAACCACAGCAGGACAATCTTTGAGCAGTACAGCGGGCGAGGCTCCCAGTTGCCCAGCTTATTAATCAGCATAATACCAAATGTAGATCCAACAAAATGATGGTCTTCCATTGGTCTCTACTCCCTACCCGTCCTAATCTATTTTCTTGTCAGTGTTGCATGCGTCTACAATAATCTGCCGGTACGCTCAACAACATGTATGTATTGTATGTGACAGCTTTTTGCCCAGGTTGTCTGGCAAATGCTCTCAAGGCCTTGCTGAGAAGCTTGGGATGGCGCCACCAGGTCTGGGTCCTTTGGAAGATGTCGAGGAGCTACGTCTCTTTTTGGGCACCTGGCAGCCCCAAACCGACCAGGTATTTAAGACCTCAAAACGGCCACAGTTTACCTGCTATTGGCTCCTGGCATTACTACTAGGAACAAGAAGCTACTAGTAACAAAGGGAGGAGCAAGAAGCTACTAGTAGCAAGAAGCTAGTAGGTTGGAGGCCATTGCCCAGGACTTCAACACACAAACTCAACCTGCAACACCCCACAGTGTCGCCCATCAAGGGCCTCATAATTTAAAGGCTGGCAGCTCGTGTCTGTGGTCTCCGTCTGGTTTAGAAGAAGGCCTAGCCAGCCAACTGGAATCTAGACTGTCAATAGGCACTCCATGCACAGTCTACGAGTGTGCTTCCTTTTTGCCTACAGAGTAAAACTGGCAAGCTTTGCTGGAAAAATCGGGCCTCCTTTTTGGGGTACGGCTGCTGGAGGCAAACGGACGCCCTGCAATAAAAAATGGACGTCAGAAAGCGCCAGAGACCCACTATTGTATGATGCTAAGCTGACGACCATGCAGTGACCGAAAACAACGGCACTGAACCAGATTCCGAGGATCAAAAGTCGAAAGCAAATGGTTGCTGTCGAAAGAGAACTCCAGCATACAGCATATGTCTAAGGAGTCTGCCTTCTCCGCAGGCCTAGAGAAGTCGAAGGAGCAACTTTCTGTAAGACCTTGGGGAAGAACTGAAAAACTAAGCTAATGCGTACCCCACACTTGAAAACATCTTTACCTGCGAGAAATCAGTAAAACTATGTAAAACTGGCTGAACGGTCTGTCTCCGTGTCCTGTTCACACTGCACTCTGGCCTCCCAAAGAATGTGTCTTTTGCACCTCGGAATATATTTGCACTGAAAACAGATTAAGTCCAACAAGCTACTAGGAACAAGTGCATCGCTAGTAGGAACAAGTGCCTTACTAGTAGTAACAAGAAGCTATTAGAAACAAAAAGCTACTAGGAACATTTTTCAAAGCCAACGGGACACTATCTCAGCTGAGTCTTGCGACAGACGTTGTGGACGAACAGCAGCCCATGGCCTTGAGAAGCACTCTTCTATGTCTATGTCTATTTCTATGTCTAGTTCTATTTCTATTTCTATGTATTCTTCTTCTTATTCTTCTTCTTCTTCTCCTTCTTCTTCTTCTTCGCTTTGTTTCCTTCTTCTTTCCGTAATTCTTTAGGTCTTGTTCATTTCCTTGACATTTTTCGCACTTTCAAGCATGAACCGCATGAAATAAGGGCTTGGCTGTCACAGCGTCGTTTGGTGATCTTGGAGTGACCGGTCCGATCTCTCCCTAGCTCAAATGCTTGCCAATTTGATTTCGCCGACAGCTTCCAGGCAGTTTATATAGCTCAAAAACAATTATATAGAAAGAATCAAAAAAATCCCTGCCTATCTTACACTTTGAAAGAATCAATCTTCTCGCCTCACGGCTGGCGCCAACGCCCATCGCCGGGACGGCACCTTGGCGCAAAAAACAAACCGAATCGCAAAGGAAAGCAAACACTAGCGCTGTCTAACTCCCACGAAAACCATTCCAAGTCGAACTTCCCTTCCATGCTTGTATTGAGGCCTGGGCGTCCAAGAAAACCTTCGAAGGCCAAGAACGGAAATCGGTGCCGCTGTTGAGGATGTGAGGCCAAAGTTGCTTGAGCTCTGGGGGTAGGAGTGGTCTCGGAGTGGTCTGAAGTTGGAGTCTTGAGGAAACAGGAAACTTCACGTCTCAGACTGTGTACAGCTTGCGGTCAGATTTTGAGCCCAAATCATACACAAAACTGGTTCCGTGTTCGGCCTCGGAAGTTGAGAAAACACTAACGGAACTCTGGGACTGCAAACATCGCACAGCCTGCCAAACCGACCCCCCGCAAAAACACACACACACAACTCGAGGTGCATCACAAATCGGTGCTGTTTCGGTGTTTAACCCGTGCTCTTTTGGTGCCCTCTTGCCATTCCTGTCTACCACTTCACATCGCAGCACGTCATTCGGTTGAGCCTGTCCATGCCATCTCGGTTCCAAGCCAAAAAAGCCTCCCAGTCATCGATGACCAGTTCTGTTATCAACTTGTGTTCAGGACACTCCATCCAGGAGTTCACAGTCCCACTATCAAGTGCCGACAAATATAATTCCTCACAATTCAGATGTGTCTTTTCGGCACTTTTGGGTCTGCGGCAATCAACCCTTGTCAAGCCCGTTATGCCACTGTGTTTACGATACAAGCCATAGACGAACCAGCCGGCAGGACACCGCAAATAGCGGGTGTCGTAACACACAGTGCGATATCCTTGTCCGCTTCTGGAAGGAACACTTTGCCTTTCACAATGGTTCCTCAATGTCACATCAAGCAACTTCATGTCCCCTGAAGAATAAGACGAAGGAAACGATACTTCCCGATACTTCGTGATTTGGTCTGTGTGAGAACCACCACCATCCTTGACGTAGAAGCCGCGTAGGAGATGTCCAGATTGAGAATCGACCCAGCCTGCAGATTGTGAAGTGAAAGATGAAACATCACGGTCAGGCAAAAAAATCATCCTCTGCAAGTGCATTAAGTCAGGAGTTTCTCCATAAAGCCCTGCAAGCCAAGTCAGCTGTTCATAGGTTTTCTCTTGCACTTCGTCAGCCCTCGTCTGAGCCCAAGGTCTGTCATTTCCATCTGATCGGCAATACTCATACATCCGCAGACAGATTCTGAAGTAGGTCCTGGCCTGAGCTTTTGCTTGTTTCTCAAATTGAGAGCGATACTCTGGCATTGCTGCCATCAACTCCGTGAAAATTGCCATGTGAAGCTGGGCATGGGCCAGAGCTGGAAACACGGTACATCTCATACCTACCGTTTTGCAGTCATAACTCTCCGTACTACCGGTGTAGCACTCCTGGAATAGGTCAGCCTGCACAAGGCCCATTTGATACTGCAGGGTGAGGAAGAAAGACAGGCGAATGCTTTTCTCAACATCTGTTGGAGTCGTGTACTTTCTGGAAAGAAAGCCGGGTAGAACTTCCAGGTCGTTTGCAAGAATCTGCATCTGGGCCTGCGCCCTTTTCAACCCAGCTGTTACTATCAATACCTTCACCTCCTTCATCACGGTGTTATACAGATCTTGGTAGGGACTGCTTTCTGGACCACCCGTGAGCAATGACATGAAAGGCAGCGAGAACGTTGCAAGGATGGCCACAGCCGGATTGATCAGTGCGACTCCTGCAATGAGCAGGTCACTTCCACCCCCTTCCCAGGCAGCTCCAAGGGCATCTTGCAGCTGGACATCAGTGCCAGTTGCCAATTTGCTGAAGAACGAAGCGATTGCTTTGGTAGCGCCGTTTGCAACCTCAAAACGCTCATGTGCTGTCATGAAATTGTTGAGTTGAAACCAACACCTTGGAAACTTATGAAACATGATGCAAACGCGGTAAGAACTGTTCTTCTATTGGAACTTGCAGGATGATCAGCATGACTGGTCTTGGGGTAACTGCAACTCATCCTGTCAAATGACAAGCAAACACTGTGAAGGCCAAGCAACATTGCTGTAATCTGTATCACTCGTGATTTCGTTGTCCAATTTTTGCTCCACGTCCGACAACGTTGGGCTTGGGGAGGTGAGATCCACGAAGCTGCTCGCGTTCCACGTGTTCAAAACGGAAAGGTGAGGTAAGTCAATCCCCACCTGTTTGGCTGCCTTCACAAGCAGGTCAGGGTCCTGCACACAGTTCAACGTCACAGCAAGCCTACGCTCTCCACAACGTCAAACACACAGAAAAGCAAGGATGTGTTTCATTTCCTCTGGTCCTTCTGCATCTTTTGAATCCAACGAACTCTCAGCTGATGCGAGACCTCCACTTCTGATCCAGTTCGCGTCATCACCTGGCTGAATTCAAAGGGTCACAGAATGTCAACCTCAAGGCAAAGGTCATGCGAGCTTCAAAGAATGTGTATCAAAATCAAAATAGTTTCCAGATTTGCACTGTGGAGTTTTAAGAGATTTGGAGGCATTTGTTGTGTGCAATGTAAGCGCACTATTCTTTGTTATTTCCTCCTGATTCAATGTGTTATTTTTTCATCATTTTTGCTTGTTTTCCATTGTTTTTGCCTTTTTCCGCTTTCGGTGTTTTTCTATTTCTTGGGCAAAACATCCAAAGTGCTGCAAGAAACAGACAAAACCCAAAAAAATATGAAAGGCCAAACAGAAAGCGATATACAATGAAGGAAGACAAATTCAGAGGAGGAGGATGCTCGAAGACAATGAAAGAAAAAGAACGGACCCAAGGCCAGAGGACACACCATCCCGAGTGAGGAAGACATTCAAGAGCTACTAGGCTACTAGAGATCCCAACAGTCAAATTGTTTGGAGAAATATGTTCCCATTCTGGGCCTGAAGAAGCCCGGATGACTTTGAAGAAGTCGCAGTTTTGCATTCCGTTTCCTTGGCATTGCCGAAATCTTTTTTGCAGCTGCTGATCTCACACCTGCTTGCAATGGGAACACTTCCTGGCTTGGGCTAAGGCACCGCAGCCCAAGAAAGGACGCAAACAGTGGCGGATATGAGCCTCAGTTTGTCAGTCCTTTGGGTGTGGTCTATGTGGTCTATGTACCTTCCAAGCAAAGTTGCCGTTGAGCCTGACTTAGCTTGAGTGCCAAGTCTCTGTACATTGGTGTCGTCACAAAAGTATGAAAATCAAAACAAGATCCAGTCCCAAAAGAAGTTTCTTGGAACGAAGCTGCTGTTTTTCTATGAACCCACACTTAGGACTACCAGCTCAATGCGCAGCAACTGCGGTAGGGCAAACTTTGGTTTGGTCAACGCATAGTTGACTGGTGCAGCATGTAGGAACGCAGCAAGTTCAAGCCACGCACATGGGATGCTGAAAACATCAAAGGACCTGAAACTTCTGATGCAACCAAGTAGCACGAATAAATGCCAAAGCATGGCTGAAATGACTCGCAAAAACACAGCGAGCAGCGGTACCAACCCAGCGGAAAGTGTCTCAATTAGGAACTTGAGAGTTTGTGGCAACGATTCCATCACACCTCTGACTTCGCCAAGTGTCAGTCTCCAATGCCTCCAGAAACAACCACACATATTCCAGTCTGCAGTCACAGGTCAATCAACCAGGCAACATCGAGGACGTTTTTTCAATTTGTCGATCAAAGTTGCGTCAAAACTTTGCACCATGACATGTTTTAGCCAGCGTCGCGATCCGACTGTTCTGGCATGGTGACATGGTGGGCGTTTTGCAGGCTTGGTGTTTTGGTTAGTCGGCTGCTAGTTGTTCGTCCGTTTGGGTGGGTGAAAGGGGTGGCGTTGTGTAAGTCAATTGGACATTTGGTGGGTTGCACGTTGTAGTTTTGGGTATGTGACCTTGCGTTGGATTGTCTTTTCTTTTGTGTGTGGCGGGGTTTGCTTCGTGGATCTTTAAGAACCGCTTGCTTTGAAGTTATCGGTTTGGTCCCTTTTTCCGTGGGCACGTCCAGGTTTTTTATTGCTGACTTACAGTGGGCTATTCGTGCGAAGCGCCTGTTGGTTTAAGCGAACATTCATAAATGTGCTTTTTGAACAACCGATGCAAATGGCACATGCAAACAGTACAAATCATTGTGCAAGACATGGTTCTATGAACTATGAAGATCGACACAGTTGTCGTTTCGTTTGCGCAGGCTCATTAACTCCCTTTTCTCAGACAACATTGGGGATTCTCACGAGGCCGTCCTCTTGACGGCTGGGTTAGGCAGAATGCATGGCCAAAAGTCGAGGCATGAAGCACACGCTTCATCGAAGGTACGAAAGGACCGTCAGGCGGTGCAAGATGCGGGCGATGAGCTGCATTGAGGACACGAAGTGGCCTCCACAGGGAGTGGAGGGTGGGCAAAAGAAACAAGTAGCATGTCAACTAGATGCATGACAACATCTTGCAAGTGCATGATCACAATGTCATGATGCAAATGTGTGACCATGCAACTGGCATCTGAGCCTGTAGGCGGTTGTTCGACCGAATCACATGCTCGAACGGCAGGGCGAAAGGCTGTGAACAAATCTTTGATGCATCAAGGTTGACAATTGTGAACCTATGTCAGATGTACACAAATGTACTTTGTGCATGGCCGCGGCGCTGTAACAGAGACCACAACTGGATGCACAAAAATTAGCACCAGAAAAATGCTTTAAAAAACCTTTAGATCCAATTGGATGGCACTCTCACCACAGGAACTCCTTTTTTCACTCTCATCTATGGGCCCTCCTGCCCGGTGAAGCCATGGGAAGTCACAAAACCCTTCCATCAAGCAACACATCAGTAGGTTGTGAAAAAAAATATATATACCTCAAGTAGCATTAAATAGGTCAAGTGGTGTTAGTCTATAGTAGTAGTTGTTTCGGTCCTGTGGGAATTGGGACGTGCTTTGTCTTTAAATGCTCTCGTGGGGCTGGGTTGCGTGGGCAATACGACGGTTTTTCTTTTAAAATGATTTCGTGGGGCGGCCCGGGCAACCGGGTGCTGCTATTCCCTGTAAATGCTTTCGCGGCGCCGGGTCCTGTGGGAATTGGGGCGCATCCGGGGCGGCGCTATTCCCTGCAAATGCTTTCGTGGGGCCGGGTCCTGTGGGGACGGGGGCGCCGCTTTGCCTTTAAATGCTTTCGTGGGGCTGGGTCCTGTGGGCAAGCCGACTGCTTTTCCTTTTCAAATGCTTTTGTGGGGCTGGCCATTGGAAACGGGGGCGCTGCTTTTCCTGCGAGCGCTTTCGTGAGCCGGGTCCTGTGGGAATTGGGACGCCGGTTTGCCTTTAAATGCTTTCGTGGGGCTGGTCCTGTGGGCTCATTTCTTCCTTTTAATGGTTTTCGTGGGGGCCCTGTGAGAATTGGGGCTGGGTTCTTCCTTCAAATGCTTTCGTGAGGCTGGGTCCTCTGGAATTGGGCGGGCCGCTTTTCCTTTAACTGCTTTCATGGGGCTGGACCCTGATCACTCTTCGTGCGAGCACTCAACAATGAATCCCGACACCATTGTTGTCCATGAAGAAAACAACCGGTCTCTCGCACAAATGGCCGCGCCAGCATTCAATCGCCAGCAAGACTGCAAGAAACTCGAGTTCAAAGATCAGGGTCTTGGCACCGGCATCGATGAAATCGACCAGCATAGAAGAAGGCAGCTGCCAAGAAAACCATGATACCAGCTCTGCATGCTCACTGAACAGCATTCCTCCGACGTCTGCCTTTGGGAGTTTCGGCACTCCAGGGAGCTCGAAGAAGGCATCGGTGAAGACGAAGAGCAGGCATACAGAATGCTGGGCAATCAGTCTGCCTCTCAGTTGCTGCAGCTTCTCCTGGTAACGTCGGAGGGCAAGGGACACAGAGAATGACAACTCTGCCACAAACTTGGGGGCATGTATGTGCTGGGTCAAGGCCTCAGGGAACATTTATTTTTCCACGAGTGCGGACGCCATGTGGGCGGAGTGCCCAGGTCATCATTGAAGGGAAAGGGAACACTCTAAGATGGTGGGAAAAGAACACAAGCAAACCCCCAAAACACAAACCAACCAACCCCAAACCAACACAACGAGCCAGACGGCCAGAGGCCGGGACCCCACCATCAAGAAGTGTTTCCTCTGTACGGAGGTGAGACAGGTGAGAAAATGTAAGCTATGTACTATCTATGGGCCTGAATTCGTGAAGAAAATCTGGCAGGAGAGGTCAGCGTGCAATCGAAAGCAACGAAGCCAATCAAAGGGACTTCGCTCCCCTATCAAATTGTGACCAGGCGGCCACTGCTTCGAGTGGCAAAACATGGTAACAAGGTACATTGCCGGGCGCTGGTCTGATCGTCAGCAGTTCTGATTCTTGCCCAAGGGAATCAGTAGTTGCAATGCCAAGCATGCCGCGGAAAAGTCTCTTATCGTTGCACAACCCTTTCAATTGATTGCACAAGCGATTCGAGTGGCATATCAATGGTCAGGCAGTGGAGGCAGAGACAAACGAAGAGAGCCTGCTGACAGTGGTGCTGCATCCCCCCCCCGAGGGGAGGTTTTCTGTGCCCTCATGGCCACCCTAAGGTGCCAAACAGGTGTGGTCTGTGCTTAGCGAAGTCGGTGCAATCATGAAAAGCTCATCCTGTTGCGTGCAAGGCCCGTGTGAAACAGGTGAAACCGTGGACCTATCCTAGCATGGTACTTGTGCCTCTTTGTACAGAATTGGTCATGGCCTGGCGGCCACAGAGAGTCACTAAAGTGCCCCCTGGGCGCCTTCCATTACCATTCTCTACCACCCGCCTATTGGGAACGAGAAGCTAAGGCTCTCATTCCTGTAGGCTCACTGTATCATAGATAGGAGGACGAAATAGTGACTCACTCGAAATTTGTTGATCCTGGCAATCACAGCTTATGTGGCAGAGGGGAAGTGCACCACCACTTGTATTAAGGTGCTGCCTAGGATTCAGCTTCTCGAAAGTCTTCTCTCCATTGGTCTTTGGCATTTGGCGGAAGGAATCGCAGCCACTGCGGCTTATCTAGTTGCCCACATCTGTCAAACGCATTGAGCCGGGCATATGTGCCTCGCCACAATGCACGCCGCGCGATGTAGAGCAGGGATGGAGGAATGCAGACCTCCTTCAGCGAGGTACACTTGGAAAAGGCTTCTTGCTCAATGATCCGTAAGTTTTGGGAAAGACTGAGTTGTTGCAGCTGTGCGCAGTGTGCAAAAGTGGAACCCAAAATTTCAATGACATTCGTCTGGGACAAATCAACTGTTCGCAGCTGCTGGCAGTTCGTACAGGCGGCTAGTCCTATCCTGTTAAAATCTGGCGGCAGGGAGAGCGCGACTATTCCTGCCTCCAAAAAGCAGCAGTCAGGCAAGCATCGATTTGGGTGTGCAGGACCACCCTCTGACATGCCCAAGTCAAGGTGTCTTAAGGCCGTGCACCCTTGAAACACTCGAGGCCGTAATTGTGCGTGGGGGGCTAGTCTATTGCTGGGCCATTGAGTCATGCCTATTTGTGTTAAGGAGCAGCACTCCTCAAAGGCCTTAGTGCCAAAGTGCGTGCAGCCAGGGGCTGTCAATGTCCGTAAGACTTGGCACTTGCTAAAAGCGCCGTGTAGAAGGCTAAAGACTGTGTCTGGCAGGCGGACTATTTGCAACCGTCGACAGCTCCTCCACGCAGCTTCTCCTACAATCCTGAGACCGTCCTCAACTAGGACACGACGGACTTCCGTGTAAAAGGAGAAGGCTTGTGGTGGGATTTTGCTATTCCTACCACGCGGGACTCGAATAGCCTTGGCCTCCCCTTTGAGTTGCCCTTTGTGCGCTGCCTCTACAAAACATGGTTGAGCAATCACATAGTAACTATGGTTGGCGCTCAGTTTGCTTTGAATGGGGTCCGTTAGGACCTGGCAGGTGTCTGTTCGCACAAATTGCAGTTCACACCCCAGAGTGGGATTGCATCCTAAGTAGGGGAGCGCTGCCAACACGGCGTTTTCAATTTTTCGGAGGCTGGTATGCGCAGTCGGATCAACCTCAACGGGTAACACCTCGCCTGCTAATGTGATGAGCGTTATGGGCCGTGTCAATGACACTCCTTTGCTACTGCTAGGGCTGAGTCCAGACGCGCCATCTGCCATGTTCTACACTTAGGATACGCTAGCTTGAGCCCATAGAAAAATTGGACAGGAGTGCGGAGTTTCAACCGGCCTCGATTCGGAGGCGGTATATCCCTTTCTCTCCCTGAGCTTATGGAACGCACTCATGCTTGGCTTTGAAGGTGCACAAGTATGAGCGTGGACCTACACTGGACCCGAGCTAAGGCGCGTGCCCAGACCTGAGGTGGGTGACAGGAAAGCCACGAACTTTGCGGTCGGGAAAGTATCCCTTCATCCAAGACCGGAGATATATCCCATGTCCGGGATCATGTGTAGCCAAGGCGGCCATCTCATCTCTGGACAAATAGCGAAAGCATTTTCTTCCGCATAGACCCCTCGCCATTTGCGCCGACCTGGCAATTTCACGAGTCTCCTGAAAGCTGTGCAGTCCAAGAAGGCCCTACTCCCTATATACTTTAGTGAGGGCGGTATGGCACGTTCTGACAGGGCTGCACAGTTCATGAAAGCTTTGACCCAAATGGTATGAAGAGTCGGCGGGAGACTGACTTCCTTGAGGCTAGTGCAGTGCGCGAAGGTGAGTTCTTGAATTTCTTCAACTTGTGTGTTGGAGAGGTCAACTTTCTTGAGTAAGTGGCAACTGTCACAAGCATGCGCTCCTATAGCTGAAAAATCCGGCGTGAGTGTAAGTGTAGTAATCCCTGTAGAGCTGAGGCAGCCTAGCGCCAAGCCACTGGCAGCGGTTTGCGGCGGCAGCCCGCCTGGGGAGGGAATCTCTCGCAGGGTAAATTCGGCAAGGTTGATGCAGCCTCGAAAGAGATAATGCCCAAACTTGGTGTCGCTACTAAACCGATTGGCAACTCCTTCAGCTGCATACACCCATTGTAAAGAACAGCACTCCGCAAAGGCTTTGTAGCCAAACTCCCGGCAGCCAGGGGCAGAGACACTGTTGAGCAATTTGCAATTTCGAAACGCATTGTCAGAAATGCCAACGACAGTTGCCGGCATTTTGACGATGCGGAGCTGCCGGCAATTTTGCCAAGCATCTGCACCGATGAGCCTGATGCCTGGCTCAATGCTGACATGACGTAAACGTGGTACACCTGCAAAAGCCCCTTCCGGGACTGTTTCCTCTGGGTTCATGGGGACATGGACAGCAAGCAGGACGTTATATATGGGACACCCTTCTAGGAGTTCCTGCGTGGGCAGGACTTCACTGCAATCCCTAAAGACCATGCAGTATTCCATACTCTGCTGCAGCTTGTCCCAGATTGGGTCCTCTAGGTAGGTCTGTGTGGCCATATGCAAAAAATCAATTGAACACCCAAACACTTTGAGGTCAGTCACTGAGGCAAGATAGTCCATAACCTGATCCTCGAGGTCACTGAGAGAGACATTTATGGTCATGCCCGAAAGGGCAGTTAGCGCCAATCAGCAATCCATAACCGGCTCCATCTCAGGAGGGGCGCTGGCTCTAGAAAGGTCGGCGGGCTCCATGGGTGGTGGACTACTTTCAATTGCTGTTTGAGCCAATAACTTCTCACTTTGTTCGTTTGCTATACATGTGAAAAGGGGCTGTCTACCCAAGACAGGTGCTAAGGCACCCACCATGGTTCCTTCATGCATTGGCTCGGGGTTGGGGTAATTCCGTATGTAGCTCCTCGTCAAAGGCATCCGAATCTGGTCCTTCCGTGGGAAGCAGCTCCACCCAAGGTGGTTTTTCAAAATTGTCGCACATCAGAAACGCGTTGTGTTCTGCCTGCACAAGCTGGTCAATCTCTCCCCAGTCGAGGGGCGTGAAGCATCTTAATTGCTCGCACCCACAAAAGGCCCGAATGCCTATATCACGGAGTTCTGTTGGAATGACCACTTCTTGGAGCACAACGCAGTTGAGGAACACCTCTTTGCCAATTTGCGTTAGTCGTGGTGGCAGCCAGATGTGGGTCAGAGCCACGCAGTGAGCAAAGGTGGAGTGGAGCAGGGCTGTGATTTCTGTGCACATGAGGTTGACCTCCACAAGTCCCTTGCAGTTTTCACAGGCCCGTGGCCCTATGTTGTGAAAGTCCCTTGGTAGACAGAGTTGTTCAATACCTGCCCCACACAATGTGCCTTCAGGCAGCGCTCGAGATCTGTTAGTTTGGTCCATGGCAAAGGCCCCATTTGGTCCTGGAGTGCCTGCTTGCGGCGTTCAAGTGTCCTCCTAAACGTGGGTTCTCCAGTCAGCCATTCGCAGAGCCGGTCCCACTGGTTTTCTGCATAGGTGAACTGGCCATATTGATGATACGGGCGATCATCCATTTCTTGACAGAGAGGATAGCCATTGTAGTAGTAATTACTGAGCATGTCGCTAGGGAGCCGTGTCAGTGTAAATCGGGGAGAGAGCAGATTCCACCCTCTACGGGACATGGCAACCCTTAGCCCAGAGGTCAGCCAGTGCGCCACTACTGCGCTCTCTGTTTGGATATTACCTTGCTCAAAGTTGCCTAGTGCGGTTGCTAACCTTGTATAGCGTATGACAAACCGCCCATACCCTTGCGCAAAGGCGTAGGTGGGCTCTGCTACCAGGTCTTCTTCCTCAGTTGCTTCTTCTGCTTCTACTTCCGGCGGTTCGGCTGCTCCTACTGGCACCGGCTGCGCATACCTGGGCGATCGCTCTGCTGATCCTGCAGCATCAGAGTCTGTGTCCGACTCTGCAGGCAGGAGGTCTGCTGGGGGATGCTTGGCAGTCTCGAGGTCTCTCCACAGTGGGACTTCAATACGCAGCCTCAGCTGCAGAAGGGAAGGAAACGACATAGACTGTCCCAACGACGGGTCAAGGGCGCCACAGGTGTAAGCTCTCTCAGCCCAGGACGTGTCCGGCATACGGGGATAGCGGTCGTATGCAATTTCCTTGTTGTACACTCCCACTACTAGCAGGGGGTTGTCTTCAGCTCCTTCCTCTTTGGGTCGGTAGCCACAGCCGCCCTTCACTTGCGCCGGTTTGAAGCCTTGCTGCCCCATGGCTGTGACCAAGTCAGGCAAAATCTGAACTGGGAGGTACACAAAGAGGTCGTTGATGGGTAAAGTTTGTTCACCATACTCCATTCCACGCACAAATGACATGATAACAGTCTGCATAAAGGTGAGCGCATCGACATCTTTCTCCCTGGTTTTCTTCTGCTTCCTCGCAGTTACCTTTGCTGCTCCTGTACCCCGGTGTCTGTGTTGGTTGCCGAAAGAACAGCGCCCTGAGACAAAAGCTAGCAAGCCATATTGCCAGAACCGAGGGTTCGCATAGAGGGCTAGC